TTTTTTTTTTTTTTTTTTTTTTTTGGTACCAGGGATTAGTCTTGGGTCCTTGCACTTGCGAGGCAGGTTTTGGCACCACTGAGTTAAATCCCCGGCCCCTGCTTCATATTGTTTTAAATGCTGGTTAGGACTTCTTGATCAGTGAAATGCCAGTTGGAGATCAGAAAGCACAGTGTGAAGAGCCAGGGATGCAGCTCAGTGGCACCTCACCTGCCTTGTAAAGTCCTGAGTTTGATCCCAGTTAAAAAGAAAAGAAGGAAGCACAGTATGAAAAAACAGTAAAACCCCTTTAACATCTGGCCACTACCCAACCCCAAAGGCCAGGCCATACCTGCAGCTGAGCGATTCCTGGGCTATGCCGCCTCAGTGCTGGAGACAAGCTGTTCTGATCCATTCTGAGTCGTAAACCAAGGAGGACAATTCCATGCTGCAGGTAGGGCATGTTGAACACCTGTTATCCCATCTACTCAGGAGGCTGAGGCAGCAGGAGTGCAAGTTCAAATCAAGCCAGGACAACTTAGCAAGACCCTAAGTGTAGTGAGTGCAGGTCATTACTCCCTGAGTTCAATACCCAGTACCACCAAGAAGAAAAGAAAAGGCAATAGAGAAAAAGGTCACATCACATGCCTCTAGACCAGCAAGAATGGCAACAGAATGCTCATCAGAAGCCATGACACCAGGAGATGCTGAAGTGACATCTTTAAAGCATTGATATACTGCCTAGCAAAGCCACCTTTCAGAAATTAAAGTGAAAGGGGTTTTTCCCCCACAAAAACCAAGAGAATTTATGAGCATACTTGTGTTGTAAAAATGATAAAGGAAATTATTGAGACAGAAGAAAAATATTACAAACTTGTATCTAATCAGTGAGGTGTTAGAAATTACCAAATATGGGTAAGAGACTTTTTCTTTAAAGAACTCTTTAAAGATAAATTTAAAACCATTTTTATTTTAAAAATAAAGTGACAGCATATATAGAAATAAAATATATTTTTTCTGTAAAGAGCCAGAAAATACTCTGGGCCTTGCAAGCCACGCAGCTGCCCAGCTCTGTGGTTGCAGTGTGAGAACAGCTAGCTGTAGACAGTACACAAATAAAGGGTGTGGCTGCATATCAATAAAACTTTATTGTTAAAGATGGATGGCAGGTGAGTTTCAGTCTGTGGGCCATAGATGGTCAACCTCTGGCATAAAAGATAGGGAGAAATGAAAATATATTATTATAAAGTTCTCATAGAAAGTGGTATAATATTGTTTGAAGTGGTACAAAGATAAATACTGTAAGTGATACAGCAATAATTTTTAAAAATAAAGTTATATCCAATAAACCAATTGTCAAGGTAGAATGGATCCTAAAAACATTCAATCCAGAGGCAAGAAAAGAAGACTAAAGGAACAGAGAAATAGGACAAACAAAAAGAACATCAAGAGGATGTTCATTCCTGAAGCAACATTAAAATGTAAAAAGCTTAAGCACACTGGTCAGTTGAAAGGCTGAGTCAGAAGAAACCCACCCCACATACAAAGGTGCAGCTCACTCTACAGCAGCAGGAGGGTTTCTGGTGAGGCAGAGGATGCACACTCCAGCCTGTCTCCACTGGATGCAGCTGCAAGGCCTGGACAGAAAGTACGGCCTCTAGAAAGTAAATAGAAGCAATCTGGGGAAGATGTACCTTAAAGAAGCACCTGGCAGGTGGCAAGTTTACCACGTTTTTTTTCTCTGGTATCCCCTCAGAATCTCTCTCCTATCCTACTGATCTATGTAAAGGAGACTTTTGGCAATAACACATGGTCTTCGTCACTGTAGCTTTATAGCAAACCTTAATACTTAATAGTGCAATTTCTCGGGCCAGGAATTTAGCTCAGTGGCACTGCGCCTGCCTTGTAAGCCCAAAGTCCTGAGTTCCATCCCTGGTACCAAAAAAAAATATATATATAGTGCAATTTCTCAACATTGATTCTTTTTCAAAATTGTTTTAATTATTCAAAGTCCTTTTATATTTCATATAAATTTTAGAATCAGCTTGTCTGTATTTACAAACAAAATCTTGCTGGACTCAGAGCCATCTGAGACCAGAAGTGAACTACACCACAGACAAGAGGTCAGGAGAAGGTCCAAGCCTGGTCTATCAGTGGGCTCATGGCAAACTAGATCGTCATGGCAGGAGATATGATAGAGGAAAGATCCTCACCACCTGGAAGCCAGGAAGCAAAGAGAAAGAGAAGGAAGGGTGCATCCCACTGGGCCCCACTCCTAAATTTTCAACACCTCCAATGACACCATCACCTCAGGCCCAGGCTTTCAACATGGGAGCCTTTGGGAGATGTGAGATCAAAACCTCATGGTGCTGTTTTACTTACAGGGTGTCTCTGAAAAGCCAACACCATAAGCCAAATGAAGTAGTGCACATCTGTAATCCCAGCACTCAGGAGGCTGAGGCAGGAGACTTGTTGTGAGTTCAAGGCCAGCATGGGCTACATAGTGAGTTCAAGGCCAGTCTGAATTACATAGCAAGACCCTATCTTGAAAAAACAAAGGCAGCACCATGGTGGTGAGCAGGCCAGTAATAGGGGTTCAGGGGTGGCAGGGGTCTGAGACTATGAGGAATGAGGACATGGGGTCATGAGATGACTGTGGCCAGGGTTCCACATACCTATCCATATGCTAAATCATAACTTGTACACCAAAGTCACACCAGTTATACTGTGTACTAATATGCAAAGATAGACTTTGAAAGTACATGAAGAAGTTTTTAAATAAGAAACATTGGCAAAACACTAACCAGGAGAAGGCTGGAGTGGCTACTTTAATATCAGGTAACTTGAACTTTAGAGTAAGAAACACTAGCAGGAAGGAAGAGGAACCTTTTATAATATCAAGAGGTCAGTTCATCAAGACATACTCTAAACACACTTGCACCTCCTAACACCTACTAACATGTCTTAAAAATAGGTGGGGCAAATGCTGGCAGACTGCAAGGAGAAACATATACCTATACTTACAGGTGGAAACTGCAGTAATTCATAGAACTCAACAGAAAATTGATAAGGCTTACACTTGAACTTGTCCTAACAGACATTTAAAGAGTGCTGAACATTCAAGTGCTCACAGAATATCACAATGATAGGTCATACTGTGAACCATAACACATGACAGCACTGAGAGGCTGAGGAAGAGAGTCTCAAGTGGAAGCCCAGTCTGGGCAACTTAATGAGACCCTGTCTCATAATAAAATATTACAAAAGAGCTAGAGATGTAGCTCAGTGTGAAGACCTTGGGTTCAATCCCAAGCAGCACAATCAATCAACCAATGAGGCTCAACAGTTCGTAATAGCTAAATCTTGGAAATGGCCCAAATTCCCCTCAACTGATGAGTGGATAGAGATGTGGGTTTCTTTATACAACAGAATACTCTCTGCCATAAAGAAGGAAGGGCTTCACACATTTACAGCTAAATGGATGGACCTTGAGACCATACTCTTAAGTGAAATAAATTGGACACATGTTTAAATACCACATTCTCTGGTGTGAGAAACTGAATGTGGAAATAACGACTGAGTCGTATAATGTAGGGAACAGAAAGTTTTCAAATGGGAAGGGGCACAAGGGAGGAGGGAGAGAGGAAGGAAGTGACAAGAAAAAAAGTAAAAATAACCTGTCATGTAGAGGTACAAGATCCCAACAATGAATGTAACTGTACTGTATCCCTAAAATGTACCAATAAACTCAAAGCTGAAAAAAAAAAAGTGAAAATAGAGGGGAAAAAATGGAAACAAAGCTTTTATATATAGGGAGTGGAGGGGCTTGAGGAGATGAGATAAAACATTTATTTTTAAAAAATAGGCTCAGTAATTGAAGAAGACTGTTTTTTTTACCACAGCAAAGTAAAAGCCATCAATAGGTACGTGGAACCCAAGTATCTTGCCAGTAGGAATTTCTAGAGGCCACCGCTTTTGGTGGGCCTCTCAGACAGCTGGTTCTTTCCAAAGAAGGAGCCTAGGAGCTGAGCTTCAGGAGGCAGAGCAGCTAGAAACCAATTTCTGGGAAAACTTCTGCCTTGACATCTACTGGGCACTGGGAACTAAGGTGGAGACAACAGGTGTGGTGGGACCTGGGCAGCTGCTTCTCCTCACCCAGGTTCAAAATCTCCCACCCCTGTATCCTCTGGTGACCATTCTCTTTCTTGCAGGAAGCCACCCAGTGCCCGATGCCTGCCTCTCAGCCCCTTGCCAGAATGGGGGCACATGTGTGGATGCAGATCAGGGCTACGTGTGCGAGTGCCCAGAAGGCTTCATGGGCCTGGACTGTAGGGAGAGTGCGTCAGGACTGCTGGGTGTCGTTCCGGAGTGGGGCGGGAGACCCGGGGCCTGTGTGTGGCAGCAGAACCAGGAAGGGTCCTCCCATGGGTTGTGCATGTAGGAGACCCACCAGAGAAAGCATTCAGAGTGTTGAGTGTGTGTGCACTATCACATTTATGGGAGGGCGGCCAGGATTGGGCAGGGTCCATCTTCCTGGACCCCCACACAGACATCTCCACTCCATGGCAGGAACCCACAGTGACTGTGAGTGCCGCAATGGAGGCAGATGCCTGGGTGCCAACTCTACCCTCTGCCAGTGCCCTCCAGGCTTCTTTGGGCTCCTCTGTGAATTTGGTAGGTGCCTGAGGCTGGGGGAGTGGGCACCCACATGTCCTGTCCCTGAGTGTCCCTATAACAGGGTATGAATGGTTCAGACCCGTGGCCCCCATCGGAGTGCCCCATCAGTCACTCTGGTGGGGTCACCCCCACCCTCATCAGGACACAAGATCACCAGGAAGAGGATCAGGGAACAAGGGGGGCCTTCCTCCTCTCTCCACAGAGGTTACAGCCACACCTTGCAACATGAACACCCAGTGCCCGGACGGAGGCTACTGCATGGAGTACGGTGGGAGCTACCTTTGCGTCTGCCACACAGATCACAACATCAGCCACTGTGAGTGGCTGAGGACCCCTGCCAGAGACTGGGGAGGGAAGGGAAGGGAGGTATGCAGCTGCAGGTGGAGGGGTCTCTGGCCACAACACACCTATAAGATAGGAGGGATGTCCTGGGGTCCCAGGTGAGACAGCACTTTGACCTGGCCATCTCTTCTCTCAGCCTGAAGCCCAAACTATTCAATACATAGTGCATACATAATTATTTGTAGTCACCTCTGCTACTGTGTAACTGTTAGTGTAAAGATGATCACATATGTGATGTGTAATCATATATAACGATGCTGACATTGACAAAGACATGTGTGTGTCACACATCAGTGGTGCTTTCTGCGAAAATCAGGAGAGATACTCCAAGGAGGGGCCTTAGAGGCCTTGTGAGGAGTCAAGACGCCCTGGGAGTGCATTTTAAGTGTCGGGTCCCAGATGGCTGCCTGGGTGATCCTGGCAGGCACACGCTCCAGAACCACCCTCTCCCCATCCCCAGCCCTGCCATCACCCTGCGACTCGGACCCTTGCTTCAACGGAGGTTCCTGTGATGCCCAGGACGACTCCTACACGTGCGAGTGCCCGCGCGGGTTCCACGGCAGGCACTGCGAGAAAGGTGCGCGGAGAAAGGCACGCCTGCGGGGTGGAGGCAGGTAGGGTCTGGAACTGCGGGAGGCAGACCCAGGGCTCCTACGGGGGGTGCGGGGCTGGGGGAAATCCTGGGCCAGAAGGGCGGACCCCGCGTCAGCACCCTGGAGAGCGCCTGCCTGCCCGCCGGGGTGGAGGCCGGCTCCTCTCCGGCCAGGGCCCTCCCTCTCCGGTTTTTATTTGACCCTTGCGGTGCTGCTGTTCTCTTCCACTTACTCGGGCAGTGCCTCACCGACTTGATTGTTGTTTTCATTCCCTATTCTTATCTGCATTCCTTACAACAGGCTTCATTTTGGGTTCAGCGTTTTCCCAAACAGATTTTAGATTGATAGGGAATTTATTTTAAAAAATAATAAAACAACCTAACTCCATTAGGATTTTGTTAAATCTACTTCAGCGTGAATAATGTAGATATGTTAAAACACTTGCCCACTCAGGATGTATTCTTTGGCGAGCACATGGCAGGCAGGAGTACTGTCCTGGCCCAGGCATCTCCAGGACTGGCTCCCAGCAGCTGGAAGATATACTCCGCAAACCCACTTTGCTGATACCACAGCCCGGGTTTGTCTGGGAAGCCAGGACCATCATGGCCTCACCTAGGAGTCTGCCCACAGCATCTCTCCTCCTTGACAAAGGCTGACAACCCCAGTATAGGAGAGGGGCTCCAAAGGTTCTTGAAACTGCTGCAGAGCTCCCAATGTGGAGACAGATGTGTCTCATGTATTGATTGCCACAGGGTTCACACTTTTAAGTAAGTGGCTGCCTCACAGCACCTGAGCTCCTTGGGGCACAGAAAATACTGAGACCTAGAGAGGATGCACCCAAGCGAGCACAGGAGCAGGAAACACAAAGCCTGCACTAACTGCAGTAGATGCTGACATCAGCTGCAGCTGGGTGTCCTATGATCAAATGCCAGGCACCATGATGGGAAGGAGGAACACTTGTGCAGCTTTCCCCAGGAGAGCCAGGTCTGCTCAGAATCTGGAGCAGAGAAGAGCACCCCAGAGGCTGAGTGGGAATCTGCAGACTGCAATTCCCCACATTGCATGCGCCTTCTGGGGTGGCCCCAGCTGCACTGGGCCTGGAGCTCAGTGAGGCCCCTGCTGGGCCTGCCCCATGCCAGGGGTCTGAGAAGACATGTGGGCAACACGGCCCTGTGCACCCAGCAGGCTGGCCAGGGTTCACTCACACCTTTCTGTCCTTCCACACAGCCCGACCACACCTGTGCAGCTCAGGGCCCTGCCGGAACGGGGGCACCTGCAAGGAGGCAGGTGGCGAGTACCACTGCAGCTGCCCCTACCGCTTCACCGGGAGGCATTGTGAGATCGGTGCGGCCCCAGGGTGGAGGGGGTGACTGGCAAGGCCTGAGCTGGGGCTGGGCCAGCTGGGTAGTGTTGGGAGGAAAACAAGCCCTGACCCTCAGCCTGACCACCATGCATCTCTTTCTCAGGAACATGCTCATGAGGACCACCAGCCTGGGGTGTTGGAAAATTGGGGAGGGGCAGCAAATTGTGGCACCTGACCCTGCTGGATATCTTTTGCTTCCAGGGAAACCAGACTCATGCGCCTCTGGCCCCTGTCACAATGGTGGCACCTGCTTCCACTACATTGGCAAATACAAGTGTGACTGTCCTCCAGGCTTTTCTGGACGGCACTGTGAGACAGGTAGGCTGGGGCACCAGGGACACTGTCCTCTGCACATGTAAAACAGTCTGCATGGGTGGAGCTGGCCCAGGCCTGCAGGGGCAGGAGGCAGGATACCCCACGGTGATGGGGACTCTTGCATTTCTGCAGTCCCATCCCCCTGCTTCCGGAGCCCATGTTTGAATGGGGGAACCTGTGAGGATCTGGGCACAGATTTCTCCTGTCGCTGCCAAGTAGGGTTCACAGGACGCCGGTGCCAGGCAGGTGAGAGACCTGAGGGATGAGCTGTGGGTACAAGTTTTCTTCCTGAGTCCCTAAGAGCAAGGAAGGGCAGGGGTGGGAAGAGGAAGACTCAGAAGTGGCCAACTCCCTGAAGTTCAGCACCTTACCCCGGATGGGAAGTAGCAAGAGCTGGGCTCTAACTGGGCCCTGCAAGCAGGTCAGATGGAGCAGTGGGCAGGGCTTCGGCAGGGCCCACAGCTCAGAGAGTTTTCTGTGCCCTTGCAGAGGTGGACTGCGGCCGGCCTGAGGAGGTGGAACATGCCTCAATGCACTTCAATGGGACTCACGTGGGCTCTGTGGCCCTGTACATGTGTGACCATGGCTACAGCCTGAATGCCCCTAGCCACTTCCGTGTCTGCCAGCCACAGGGTGTCTGGAGCCAGCCTCCTCAGTGCCTCGGTGATTCTGTGGGCCCTTGGGTGGGATGGGGTGGGCAGGGCCTGCATGCACGTATCACCCAGCCACACGGAGAAACAAAGGGCTGAGCCCTCTGTGGATCAAGGCTGGAAATCCTATGGCAATACAGTGGGCATGTCATCTTGGCTCTGGACGATTCTCATTCTGGGCTCTCCTGTCCCTAGAACAGCCCAGAGCAGGGGCCAAACACTCTACAGATAGAGCAACTGTGGCCATGATGTTGTGCAGGTACAGAGTCCTAAATAGGCAGATCTGGGCCCAGGGCTGTCTCCTACTCCTGCTCCCACCCAGGCCTATGGAACCAGAATCTGCACTTGATCAGGACCCCCACACATGGCACTGGAGGGGCACTGCTCCCAAGAGCTGCCTCAGGACTCCACCAGAGCTCGGGGTGCGTGTCTGGCCTAATGCCCTGGAAATGGGGTTCCTTAACTCAAGGGTAGGTGTGTTGCAGTGAACCACAGCATGCACACTCTGCTCAATGGAAAGCTGTGTGACATTCGTACAGGCTTTAGAAAACAAAGATTTTTAAATAAGCTTAGGGGTGAGATGACAGCATCCAGAGGTGAATGGAGCATAGTGCTTTGCTGTCTCCCAAATGTCCACAAAGCCCTGCCCACCTGTCAGCCCTGCCTAGTAAAAGCTGCCAGATTCTGGGATGGGAGGACCACCTGGCATGAAGCATCTGTCCTCTCCTGTCCTTCCAAGCCTAGGGCTTGTGGGAGCTGCCAGGGGCCCACCCCTCTGAGTGCTGCTTCTCCCAGCCATTGCCAGGTAAAAATCCAGTTCCCCCAGAAGACAGGGGCACCCCAGCCAGACATCAGGGACCCTGAGAAGCATATCCACCTCAGGGAGTTGTAGCCTGAAGTCCAGAGAGAAGCCACCACTGAAGGCAGGAGCCCAGAAGAGGGAACAGCAGCAGAGAATGACATGCATGTCTCATGTTATACGTACTTTACATTCTGCCACACAGAGTGACAGGCATATAAAAGTGAACACTGTGTTGCCCATACAAAATAAGATCAATGTTTTTTCAAAGAAAATCTTCTTTAAAAGGGTTAAGAACTATGAGAGTTAAAATACCAATCATACTTTGTAAGTGGATACAGATGAAGAGGGATGCAGAAGAGCTCTGCGGTGGAACACCTGTGCTCTCACCAAGGCGAAGGCACCCACAGAGAACAGAAAAGCAGATGTTAAGGACAGAAGTTCTGAGCAGCTATGGAGTTCAGCTCCAGAGCGACAGATGAATGACAGGTCAGAAGGGCCCTAAGAACCTCAAACAGAAGAAAAAGGAAACATGGTGTAGTAAAATGTAAGGATGTCATGAACTAATAGAAAATTTTAATAACCAGAGGGAAAAACAGATCACCTACCAAAGGACTGGAATCAGACTGGCATCAGATTTCTCGACAGCAACCTCACTGTCAGATGACAGAAAGGTGATTTTAAATAAAAGGAGATCCACTGGGTTAGGGTGGAGACCATCACTCTCACTGTAACATCCAGGAAAGCCCACAAGGCCTCAGGAATCCCAGCTGTTAACCTGTCAAGAGCTGAGCATTCAGGAAATGTGGGCAGACCTTTCCTAGGCAAGAAAGGCTGGTGGTGCTTTTGTCCCTAGACCCCAGAACAGCAAGGGCAGGTGCCCTGAGGACCTAGAGAAATCAAGCATGCTTTGAGCACTGTGAGGCATGCACAGCAACTGAGCTGCCGAGGTGCAGACCAAGTGCTGAGCACCTGAGGTTCTGCCCAAGTACAGTGACAGAGGACAGAGCACGTGTGCCCAGGAGAAGGGCATCCTACTTGGGTCTCTACTTTTCTTTTACACTTTGTGTCTGAGAAGCAAGAAATTATGACACATGCTCTAGAAGAGAAACAGTCCACAGAAACAGGTCTGCCTACAGCTGCTCAGTGTTGGAATTTGCAGACAAGGACTTTAAAATGCCAGTGTAAATGTGTTAAGGAAAGCAAAGGAAAAGAGAAACAAAATGGACAAGATAATAGAGAATGTGAGGAGAAAGGAAGAGTTTTAAAAGTAACAAAACCAACCTGGGGCTGTAGCTCAGTAAGAGAGTACTTGCCCAGAACATGCAAGGCCCTACGTTTGATCCCCAGCACTGGGAAGGGAAGGGAAAAGGGAGGAGATGAGGAAGACAAGGAGGAGGAAAAATAGAGATTCTAAAACTGAAAATAAAATATTTGAAATGAATAAATTAGGTTTAGTAACAGAAAGGATACAACAGAAAAATTCACAAGCCAGGACAATAAAATTATCTAAACTGCAGGTAAGAGAGACAATTTAATTTTAAGATGAGTTACGAACTATGAAAAAATGAATTTCAAAATAAGATAGAGGTCAGGTAGGTATCTGCAGGACAATAGCAAATAACCCCCAAACTGAAGTCCCAGAAATACAGGACAGAATTGGCAAAAGAAATATTTGAAGAGATAATTACTGAGCATTTCCTAAAAATGAAGGAATACATCAACCTGTAGATCCAAGAAGCTCAACAAACCCTAAACAGGACAAATACTGTAATAAACAAAGTTAAGACCCAAAAATGTGTATCCAGTCATATTATTATTCAAATATGGGAGATAATAAACATTCTCATGCATACATAGCCTGAGAGACTTAGTAGAAAAAGTCCTTTTTTCAGATGGAATACTTAAACCATAAGCAAATTCAGGTAAGAGAAAGGGAAGTTATTACCTATTGGCAAGGCTTATCACTATCTAAAAGGAGAAAAGGAAATCAGGGGGAAATGGCACATAGGAATACTGAAAAGAATTATGAGGGCCAGGGCAAACCTATAATCCCAGCACTTGAGAGGCTGAGGCAGGAGGATAGCTGCAAGTTTGAGGCCAGCCTAGAATACACAGTGAGATCAAGGCCAGCCTGAACTAGAGTGCGACCCTGTCTCAAAAAAACAAAAACATTATGATAGAAAAAATACAAATACAGGGCCGGGGATTTAGCTCAGTGGTTCTGCTGCCTGCCTCACAAGTGTTAAGTCCCAAGTTTGATCCCTGGTACCAAAAAAAAAAAAAAAAAAAAAAAAAAAAAAAAAAAAGAGCTATATGCCATCACAAGAGATACTCTGAAAATATAAGGACATAGACCAAAAGTAAAGTCAAGAACAGTATCAGGTGAACAAAAATCAGAAAGCTAGAACACTAGCACCACTCTCAAAAAAACTAGGCTGTCCATGAAAAGCAGCACTAAGAGGAAGACAGTGAACGCCCACCAGTCTGCATGCCAGGCTCCCAACCCACATCCAGCAGAGCCGTAGGCTGCAGAAGACTCTGGCAGGAATTTGATTCCCATATCCTACTTATGGTCATTGTACTATATACAATAGTACAACAAATAAAAGATAAACTTTCAATATGTGAGATGAATTATAGTCATAAGCATAAAAGTTGCAAAGTATGAATTTCAAAAAAAGCATACAAGAAAATATGCATGATTGCTACAACAAAATGGTTATGCACTTGGAAAAATATTTATCCCCTACTCACCATATGTGTCAATTAATTCCAGATGGATTAGTCTTAGAATTAAAACTACGCAATCTTGTATGGAAAATACAGGTAAATATCTTAACTTTTGAGTAGAAGAAGTCACCAAAAAAAAACTATAAAAAGAAATAAATGGACCAACCTGACTGTGTAAAAATTAGGAACTTAAACCCCTAACTCCTAAAGAAGAAAATGAAATACAAGCTAGAACCTGGGAGTGTGCATACAAATGGATATATACAAACATATCTCTCTATACATGTGTGTGTGTGTGTGTGTGTGTATGTATAGGTGAGTATTATGTGTGTGTATATGTATAATGTGTGTATATATGACAGATTATAAAACTATATGAAGAACACCAATGAATCAGTAAGAAAAAAATAACCCAATAGGAAAATAGGCAAAACATGAACAGGCAGTCCATGGAAGAAGACATACATAAGGCCAAGGAAATAAAAAGAAATATTCTACTTCATTAGTAAATAGAAACATGCAAGTCTAAGGTACATTTGGTTGGCAAAATTCTAACAGGGACCAGAGATTTAGCTCAGCGGTTCTGCCACCTGCCTGCCTTGCAAGTGCAAGGACCTAAACTCGATCCCCGGTACCAAAAACAAAAACAAAACAAAAAAAATTCTAACAACTAAGCAGCCTACCCTAGCGAGTGCATGAGTCTGCAGGATCATTTATAAACTGCTGTGGGAATTGGAGCTGGCATAAGCACTTTGAAAATAATTCAGTAGTTTTCCTGTACAGTTCACCATCAGCACAGCCTGAGTCCCACAGTTCCACTTCTAGGTATAACTAAGTAAATCTTGTACATTCACACTAGGAGATGTGAACATGTACAGAGAACTGTAGAACCAACACAGTGCCCACCAGAAGTAAGAAGCACTCGTGAGAGAATATCACACAGCAGCGAACATCATGAAGTGCTGTGACCCCAAACAACACAGAGATCTCTTAGTAATAAAAGTGTTAAGTGGAAAAGGGTAGATGTTGTGAACTCTATTAATAAGACTCAACAAGTACCATATATTGTACAGGCAATTTATAAAATTTAAAAACTAATTTGAAAAAGGCAAAGAAGTGACAACTACAGAAGTTGGTATCCCAGGAGGAGAAGGTGAGCACCTAATATTTAGGCTCCAGGTTGGGGCTGGGAGCCAGTCCCAGATGCTTGTAGGTCATTATCATTAATTTACTTACTTTCTGGACATGGAAATTAGACATTTAAACTCAGGAGTACAACTCTGGTCTAAAAGAAATCAATGGTGAAACTTTTGAAACTACTCCCAAAGGTACTGGTTTCACACAACTGCTAGGTATAGAAATGGCAAGACCAGACACGAGACATCCTGCCAAGCCCCTTGGCCTGTCTACTGATGGTCATAGGCATTAAATCTCACAGTGTCTTCTGAGAGGCCTGGAGGTGATTGTGACAGACACAGCCCAGGCCCGATCCCTCCCCTCCCGGGGATCCAGCCCTGGATCTGGCCTTTTGGAGGGCCCAGGTGATGGCGTGGACTTGGACTCCTCAGATCTCATTTCTGCCTTAGTAATTGCCATGTGGCTTTATTCTTGGGTCTCTCCTCTCTCCCAGAAGTGGACGAGTGCCGTTCTCAGCCCTGCCTGAATGGGGGCTCCTGCCAGAGCCACACCGCGGGGTACCACTGTCTCTGCAGCGCAGGGTACGAGGGAGCCCACTGCGAGCTGGGTAAGAGGGCTGGCCCACAGGGTTGGCAGTGGAAGACGTGGGCCCCTGGCCATGGCCACCTTGCCAGCCACTCTTTTCCCTAGACAGCACTGTCTGGATAGCCAGCACAGCCACTGCTTGCTCCCTCAGGCTGATGCCAGCTCTGATGAGATTTATAAGCATCTTTGCCCTTTTCGGGCAAGGAGGTGGGCAGGTCTCAGCCCCGACGGCTGGCCTGGTGCTGCCCACCAGCAGAGGGGAGGCCTATTCAGCATGTGACTGCTGGACGGGCCCTCAGCCCTTGGTCCTGTATGCCGTGCTCCCTGAGACTGAGATGCTGGCCACCAAGGAAGGAGGCTTGGCACTGTATCCATTTGTGCAGGAGCAGTCTGGGCATGCAGGCTCTGCTGCAGAACCCAGTGTGGGGTCCAAAGTACTGACCCCCAGACTGAAGTCTCAAGGCCACAGAATCTCAGGGATGTGTAGGGGCTCTGGGTCTAGTCAGTGAGGTACCTTGTTGTACAGAAACGGATGAGTGCCAGGCACAGCCCTGCAGAAATGGAGCCTCCTGCAGGGACCTCCTGGGGGCTTTATCTGCCAGTGCCCTGCAGGCTTCGTTGGAGTCCACTGTGAGACAGGTGGGGCTCCCCATGGGTATCTGCACGTGTAGAGCCCAGGCCACAGGCAGACAAGCCACCCAGGGAGAGGGACACCCAGGGCTGTGGCTGCCTGAGAAGGAGGGAAGCTGCCCACTCCCCTCCAGCCTCTCTCCTCGCTGCCCTATCCCTTCTTCTGCTATCCCCTCCTCCCTCTCCCAGAAGCCCCTGCCCAGCTCGGGCCAACTCTCTGGGTGTTCTCCAGAGGTGGACGCCTGTGACTCCAGCCCCTGCCTGCATGGAGGTCGCTGTGAGAATGGTGGCGGGGCCTACCTGTGTGTCTGCCCAGAGGGCTTCTTCGGCTATCACTGTGAGACAGGTAGGGGCAGCAGGCCCTCCCCAAAGGCTGTTCCCTGAGAACTATGGCCCTTCCCCTCATTCCCTTGGCCCCATGATGGTGCCTCCAAGCACCCACAGAACTTCCTCCCCAGGGGCCCTACCTCACCCCCACATGCCCAGGCCATGGCTTCACGTCCTCTGGACAAGCTACACTCCTTGCAGCCCCACATTCTGAGCTCTCTGCCCCTCCATCAGCCCTAGTGGGGACCCTCCAGGCAAGGCCTTTCCACGTCACCCATGGTAGATCCCCCCATCTAGCATTCCCTGTACTACTGCAGTCATCCTGGACCATCCTCTTCCCACCAGAGCCCCCCTCCTAGGGTAGGAGCCCTGGGTGGGGGTCCAGCATGTGGTGAGGCTGGATCAGGGCACAGGCACTGTCATGGGACCATCCCTGTACCCACCAAGCAGGAAGGCATCAAAACCCCACACTCTCTGCTCCCCCCACCAGTGAGTGACCCCTGCTTCTCCATCCCCTGTGGGGGCCGCGGCTACTGCTTAGCCAGCAACGGGTCCCACAGCTGCACCTGCAAAGTGGGCTACACGGGCAAGGACTGTGCCACAGGTGAGGTGATGAGGCACCTACAGGGAGACAGGCAGCTGGGGTGGATGACTCTTCTTTCCTGGGGGCCTCCCTAGAGCAGTCCCCAGGGCAAGGGCACAGGCAGCCCTGACCTAGGCGGGAGGAGTGCATCAACACAGCCAGGGTGCAGAGGCAGGAGCCTCCAGGGGGTTAGTGGAGGCCAAGGAAAGGAACCTGGGAAGGAGAGGACTCCCTGCCCACAGCAGCCTAGCTGCCCAACCCCAGGGACCAGAGGAGGCACCTGATGGGCCATGCTCCCCAGCGGGCAGCTGACCATGCCCTTCCCTTGTGTCCTGGCTGGAACCCTGAAGAGCTCCTCCCACCAACGGCCCTCAGGGTGGACAGAGTGGAGGAGAGTGGGGTCTCCATCTCCTGGAGCCCCCCCGACAGCCCCACCGCCAGGCAGGTGCTAGATGGTTATGCCGTCACCTACGTCTCCTCCGATGGCTCCTACCGCCGCACAGACTTTGTGGATAGGAGCCACACCTCACACCAGCTGAGGGTCCTGGCACCTGGCCGGGCCTACAACATCTCTGTCTTCTCGGTCAAGCGCAACACCAACAACAAGAACGACATCAGTCGGCCAGCAGCACTGCTCACCCGCACACGTGAGTGGCACCAGCCCTTGGGGAGGAGCTGGCAGGCACTGCTCCAGGAGGGGCATGAGCGAGGGACAGGGACAGGGAAGAGGGTGGCCTGGCAGGCAGCTGGCCCTGCAGGTTTCACGAGTGAAGCTGCTGGGGGGTCTAGACTAGGGGGCATGGTGGAGGGAGGCTGGTGGCAGCAGGGAGGCTCCTTTCCCAGCTCTGGGAGCATTCCAGCAAGAGTGCCATTGCTGGGACACCCTCCTGGAGCTGTGGGACTAGTCACGTGAAATTACACAGCAGCTGAGGGCTGCCCTGGGCTTAGAAAGCCTGCCCTCATCAGGGTGTGAGAGGGACCACTCTGCATGCCCACCCAATGGCTCTGGAGCCAGCCCCTGTCCAATGTCTGTGCAGTGGCATGAGACACAGGGAACTAAAGTCACAAGTGCCCCTTCCCTGTAGTCCCCAAGGACGATGCTGTTTCAAACCTCTGAGCCAGCACTGTCCAACCATGCCCAGGTGTCTACCATTACAGCAGCACAAAGGGGTGGTGGTGCCTGGGTTAACTGGGCTCGGAAGGCACCCGTCTGGCATGCCCCTGTCACAGCTAACCTGGGATAAAACTGGAGGCCTGGCTGCCCTAGAGCCATGCCAATAGTGGCTGTTCAGCAACTACCACCGCCAGATCAGGCACCCAGGCATTTCTACCCGAGTCCCTGCTGGGCAGATGAAGGGTGCCTCTCTGGGACCCCTGCACCCTATGGACCCTTGTTTTGTCTTGAGTCCCCTCACCTGGGAGCAAGGAGGAGCCAGCATCTGCTGAGCAGCCTGCCGCCCCCAGGACCCCACCCTGTGGAGGACTTCGAGGTCACCAACGTGACAGCCAATGCTATCTCAGTGCACTGGGCTCTGCACAGGATCCATCACGCCACTGTCAACAGGGTGCGTGTGTCCATCCTCCACCCAGAGGCTCCTGAGGCCCAAGCCACTGACGTGGACAGGAGTGTGGACCAGCTCACATTCGGGTAAGCAGAGACACTGGGCCTTATGCTCCCTGTGTCCATGAGCCTGCTGCCCCAACCTGGACGTGGCTGGGGCCCAGAGAGCCAACCTCAGCTCTAGGGTCTGTCCCTTGGGGCCAGCCTGGGATTCGCCCAGGGCCCCACAATGGACCCTGTATGGTGGCCACCAGCCTGAGGGGAAGTCAGAGCAGGCAGTTCTGGGGGAGAGAGGGGAGGAGGGAAGAGTCTGGTCAGCAGCTCCCTGTGGTCCCTACACAACCGCAGGGTAAGGGTTAGGATAAAGGTGAGGTCAGCACAGGGGCTGCTGTATGAAAAGCTGAAACTGACAGATTCTGATGGAGGCCAGTCACCTAACAGGCAAGTCTGCAGTGTACTGGTCAGGAGGCAGAGGCCCGTGCTTCCTCCTTCACTGTCTCCACTAGGACCTGCTGCTCCCTGTCTTGATTCACATGGTAGCCCAGTCGTGGCGAGCCTTTCAGAGCTTTTAATGATAACAAATAGCCAGTTGCAACACACATGCCATAGGTTCACGACCATGGTCCTAGTCTCCCAAAGAATGGTCTGAGGTGGCCTACAGAAGAAACACAGGGGGTCCCAGGAGGGTGTGTGTCACCTATGGTGGTCACAAGACACCCCAGCCAGGCTCACCAGGAGCACTTGGCACAAAGTGGCTCTCACAGCCAAGACCCAATACAGAGAGGGTATGGGGTGAGCTCCAGGCTCCTCCTCAGGTCACACAAAGCTGGCCACAGGCCCCAGATGTCGCTGCCCTCCTCCCTCTTACAGGGCCCTGCTGCCAGGAAGGAGATACACCATGTGGGTGGCTGCCCTCAGTGGGCCTGGGGAAGTGGAGCAGCCCACGGAGAGCCGGGCCTCAGCACAGCTGCACGTTTGGACCCGTAAGTAGGCGGCAGCCTCCATGTTCACACCACATCCTCCTAGAGCTCTGGCCTCTTCCAAGTGTCCCTGTGCCAGGAACCAAGACCCTGGCCTTCCAAGTTCCCTTCCCATCGGCCACTAGGAGGGGCTGCTGCAGAGGGCCTGAGAGCACACCCAGCTGAGGGTGCCCCTGGGACCATGTGACTGGCACCCTCTGCTTAAACTCCCTGGTATCACCAGCCCACAACCCTCCCCACTGTATGTGGGACGTGGGCAGCAGTGCACAGGGAGGAACAGGTAAACAAGAGGGATGTCTCAGCGGTCCATGAGGAGTAGTGGTCTGCACAGGACCTCCCCCATAGGGACAGTGGTGTCCCTCAGACACAGCACCTCAGGGAGGCAGCAGAAGGCCCATGTGGCAGGGACTCCTCCCGGCTGAGCCTCCTTTATCCTCTCCCCACCATCCCACGACTGTACAGTCATCCACAATAACCAGATCTGGCATCCAGGGAGACCTCAGCAATACCTCTCAGGGTCTATGCTATGTCCGTAAGATGCACTCCACCTGTCCTTCACTTCTCTCTGCTGTCCGTGCTTTGTCCAGGGCCCCTGCCACCAGCAAATCTGACTGCCGCCCGTGTCACAGCCACCTCTGCCCACATGGTCTGGGATGCCCCCACACCAGGAGTGTCGCTGGAGGCTTATGTCATCAACGTGACCACCAGCCAGAGCACCAAGAGCCGCTATGTCCCCAATGGGAAGCTGGTGTCCTACACAGTGCGCGACCTGCTGCCTGGGTGGCGATACCAGCTCTCGGTGACAGCTGTGCAGGGCACAGAGCAGGGCCAGCTGCACAGTGAGCCTGCGCACCTCTACATCATCACGTGTGAGTGCCCTGGCCAGGTGGGGCAGGGGAGTGGTGTGCTGGGGGTGTGGGCCCCCATCCAGGAGCCTCACCTGAAATGAGAACAGGCCTAGTGCAGCGTGGAGAAGCCTGTGTGGGGGTGCAGTCTGTACAAGGGAAAGGATAGGCTCATCCATGGACACTGACATTCTGGACAAGTAGGCATGCCCAGCCTCTCCTATGCTGCGCCCCTGCACTGTACCCAAGCAGGTAGGGCAAGGAGCACAGGGCATTACCCTGTAGCAGGTGCCAAGGAGGCAGCAGGGAGAAGACCCCGAAGTGGGCTTGCAGTCTGGCCTAACCCACAGGAGCTGCTGGACATGAGCATGGAGAGGGACCAGGAGACCCAGGGCCTGGAAGGTGAAGGAGTGCTCTGCACAGGAGGAGGAGAGCAGCTGGGCACAGAGCTTAGGAGACCCCTAAGAACCAGTGTCTGTTCCCTAGGCAGAGGGCCCTGCTGACATCCACCAGGGCCTCACACGCTCCTGATTACATTCTCAGAGCAGTTGTGACAACATCGTTTGTCTGTAGGGTCAGAACAGGGCAGGCAACAACGTAGGCCCAGTGCAGAGCCAGACAAATCAGAGCCTGAAGATAGAGGGGCTCCCTTCCACTCCCTGGCTCTGTCATCTCCCAGCATGGCTCCAGGCAGATCTGCTGGGTAGAAAGGCAGGCTGGGGCTCTGTGTGCCTCACTGGCCAGGGCAAGGGGACCAAGAGCTGAAGGACACCCTGGGGTGATGGAACGTGCCCTCCCTCTCTGGGCCTGTGCCAGGGAGGGACCTCGGCTGAGGCAGCTGCCAGGAATGCTGAGTGGACCAGGTAACCTGGGCCAGGTCCTGTGTCCAGCCAGTGCTTGAATGCAGAAGGGACACCGTGGGTGACGTGGCCTCTCAGGTGGATAGCAGCACCTCTCCCTCCCCAAGCAGTAAGAGTGTGGGCCGGGCAGGGCAAGGGCAGCCCAGGCCAGCCCCCTGGCCACTGCCTTCCACCTGCCTGCTCTGCAGCCCCCAGGGACAGCACCGACAGACGCTGGCACCAGGGAGGACACCACCCCCGGGTGCTCAAGAACAGACCACCCCCCATGCGCCTGCCAGAGCTGCGCCTGCTCAATGACCACAGCATCACTGAGACACTGACCCAGCCTCCCAGGTACTTGTCCTGGCCACCAGCCTTGTCCAAAGGTGTGCTCTACCCATGGCGACCTGCTACCTCATGCTCTCACAGGTACCTGGAGCTTGTGGATGGAAGGGGACGAGTGAGTGCCAGGTTTGGTGGCTCACCCAGCAAACCGGTCACCTTGAAATCACGTGAGTACTGACTGCCACTCCCCCTTGTCCCCTACAACCTGGGCATAAAGGTCAGCCAAGGCCTTGGGCGGAACCAGCTGTTGAGCCTCCACACTGTCATCACATGGCCAGAGATGCAGGCTGCAGAAAAGGCTTACCAGGGAAGTAAAAAGTAAAGCCTTTAGAAGCAGATGCAATCTGCTTGCCAGGTTAGGACTCCAAGTATTGTTAAGTACACAGTAGACAGTAGGCTATGGCAGTCTCATGCTTTGCTACTCAGAGTTTGACAGTTGGACCAGTAGCCTTGCCTGAGAGCTTCCAAAAGTGCTGAAACCAGCCAGAACTGCCACCTTGTATGAGGGTGATTCATGTGCATGCCACTGTCCTAGAAACCTGAGGCTTAGCACTCAGTTAAGAAGTCCTATTCTGAAGGCAAAGTCCCACTGGGTGGGACTACCCAGAGCAGGTCCCTGGCCTCTCCACCAGGCCAGCACCACAGGACATGTGCAGTTTCAAGTACTGTCCCCACCAAGGTCAGCCCAGCAGCACCAGACATATGAGCCCAGATGCCCAGACCCTTCCTACCTGGCTCACCTGGCAGGTCCAGGACTCTTCCTCTGATTCTGACACAAAGATCCTAGCAACCTCACCTCCCACCTAAGGCCAGGCACCTGTTCTCATAGTGTTCCTCAGCAGAGCACTTGATTGTCAATGCAGTGAGTCTCCAAGAAGAGGGGAGGGAGAGGAGCAAAAGGACAGAAGAGGGCAGGGGGCCAGGCCCTAAGAAGTGGAGAGACCATTGCCATGTGTGGTGAAGGGAACAGGACCAGGGATAGTTGGGCTGCCTATGGGGCATCCAGTGGTGGGCAAAGCTCATAGGATCTTCAACCATGATGGCAAATATAAAATGCTTAGGGACACAGGTGAGAACTGGTACAGAGGTGACTTGCAGTGGGGGGCCGGGAGTGCAGCCTGCACAGAGTAGCAGAGAGGAGGAGGAGGAAGTGGTGCAGCCCCAGAAGCAGGGGATGGAGGGACGGAGAGTGAATTTGACCCCAGGAAGGAGCGGGCCACTATGTCAGCTGTAGGAAGGGTGGGGCCTGGAAAGGCAGCCACTGGAGCCTCCTCAAAGTGCCAGGAGTGGGTCCTGCTGAGTGGTGGCAGGAGGGAGGGGGCCTAATCCTCCACAGGAGGCACATGGGGATTGGCAGATATCAGGGAGCTGTTCAAGAGGGCCATCCCAGGACAGGCTTAGACACAAAGCGGCTGCTCTGTGTTCACCCCTGGCTATCTCAGAACCCACCCTCTTGCCACTGGAGAACACGGAGGAGGTCCCTGAGCAGGTCCACCTGGCCTTCCAGCTCCCTGAGCGCAGCAACAAGGACACAGAAAGTAAGTCAGCAGCAGGCGGGGACTGACTACACTTGGGTCATGAGTGAGGAATCCCATGTCAAGGGGTCTAGAAGCACGGGACCTGCCCAAGGGGCAGCCAAGCACCCCCCCCCCCGGGAAAGCAAAGGGC